GGTAATGGTTTTAAACTAAACCAGGGTAGGTTTAGACTGGATATAAGGAAGAAATTCTTTACACTGAGGGTGGTAAAACACTGGAACATGTTTCCCATAGAGGTGGTGGAGGCCCCCTCCCTGGAAACATTCAAGGCCAGGTTGGACGGGGCTCTGAGCAACCTGATCTGGTTAAAGGTGTCCCTGCTCCCTGCAGGGGGGTTGGACTAGATGACCTCTATAGGGGTCCCTTCCAACCCAAAACATTCTATGATTCTATGATTCTGTATTTCCAACCACTCTCCATACTTACCCTGCTAACCTAACTGCTTCCCGTCACAGCTGAAGGGGTGACATTTCCCAGGTGCATAATGGGAAATCTGGTCCTTCAAATACTTCAAAAGACATAGCCATGTTTCACGTCAAAATATTTATACCATTAAAATTATTAGAAAAAACAACCCAAAACCACATACATCTCATACATCTCCCCTGATACTAAAAGCTAGCTAAAGTGCTTACATTTTTATTAATGCTAAGGCATGGAGACCCTAGTTTCTAAAATGTAATCTCTCTTAAACATTTCCATGAGGTCTATCATGACCGCTTCTTGCCACTTAATCTGACATTTCATCTAAATATTCACTGGTCTGCAGAGATGATACCAGAAGCCCTTGGATTAATAAATAGCACAGTGGAAGTCAGAAATATGCCAGTGATACAAAGCAGAAGCAGACAAAAAGCTGCACACAGATTACAAACAGAACTTTTTTAAGGATGGAGACCCTTCTACAAACAAATACTGCAATGACTATTTAGCAATGTCAGTGAAACCAAATCATCTAGTAGCCTATAAAGATATCAACATCAGTAGAAGGCAAAGGCAGAAGCACATGCCCATGATGCACAGTCATCCATAAGAATCTGACGAACATCAGTTTCAAAAGTTTCTACGGTAGTCAGTAAAACTTCAGGGAGAATTCCAAAAGTAAATGTATAGCAGCAAAGAACCACCAGCACCTTAACAGTTGCTTTGACTATACTATGATATGATTTCAAATTATACTAAAAGGCTTTAGCAGAATTAGAGCAGAATATGCCACAGCAGAAGGTGAAAGATAACACACTTGAAATGATTAAGTCAGTCTGAGATAGGTCTGAAAATCCTTTACATTAAAAGAGAAACCTAGCAACTGCTGCCAGACATTTTTAAAACTGTACATGCAAATATACATTTTGACAGCTTTATAAACCAACACTTTATCTAGCTCTTAATAAGCTGAGTTAATGATTAATATTGTAATGCTGCCCTGCATGTTTACTGCAGTTGAAGAGATTAGGGATATTAGGCACACAGATTTTAGGCTGCCAGAGCAGGTCACTCTGGGATGATTCAGCCACCTAGAAAGGACAAAAATTGTTTCACAAAAATGTTGATTTTTATAATATTTCCCTCCTGGTAAGAGAGGAGTGCTTTCCAGTCAAACAGAAATCCCTATACCCAAATTAGATCATTTGGCTTTCCTCACTGCCAATAATGAATCATTCCATTAGATGCTCAGAAACAAAAGCTGTTGCATTTTGCTACTGATAGTACTGATGAATATCTGAATTTGGATGTAATGTCCAGTTTTAATGCTTAATCATTCAATTACTGTTTAAAAACCAGGTCACAAAACGGTATCAGTTGGCCTAGCTGCCTAAGCTAATTTACCCAGAAGGTTGCCCCTAAGAGTCTTTATCAATGAGAAAGGGAAGGAGTAATTTGCCAGACAAAACCATCTTTCTTGCAGGATCTGTAAACAGAACAGAACATACTTCCCTTAAGCAAAAATTGCATAAAAATTTCTCAGGAGAAGGTTCAGACTAGATGACTGTTTTCTGGTATTTTTCCTTGAATTAGAAAGTGTGCAGTTTTCAGAGTGTTAACATCCCCTTTTTAATTGCAAATTGTTCCACTATGTACTTGTTATGATATGCTAATTCAAGAAAGCACATCTGGACTCATAGACTTACGTTGTTACAGACTTCTGCTAAAAGAAGCAGTATACATATTTTTGTCTTTGGGTAAGTGAAATGTAGTACCTGCGAACACAGATGTCGACAACCAAGCCAGAACATCTTTTACCATGTATAAATAAACGGAAGCTGTCGGGTTTATGTGGACTTGGAGTGACATCTAGTGACGTAAAAAAGCAGTGCAAGTGACGAGCTACAGACAGATTGATCCGCCCTGGCGGACCTGCAGAAGCTCCTGAGCAATTTGTTTCCTCTTCATTAAAAATGTTAAGAAACATTAATACAAAGATTTTAACAGGAATCTTTGCAATTTGCAATTAATTTAATCTCTTTACTCACAAACCAGACATCTTTGATGACATTTGTTTCAGTGAGGATCCAATTTTTTGCTGAGCAATCCTACCACTGGAAAATGTTCAGCTGGTCTCACTGCATGCAAAAAAATAAGCATAGTGATTTAATTATAATTGATATTGATATCAAATTGATAAAATTAATCCAGTGCAAATGGATCAGTGACCACGGTCCTTCTGGTTTAAGAATGGCTTATTTTATCTCATGCTCATATTTCTAATTCATTTAACCTAAGCCACAGTAAGCTTCTGTGCTGCAGTTTGGCAGTCAGTTTACATTGCCCCCGAAGATAAACTGCTGCACAGACATGACACCCTCCCTGACAAAGGCAGATACACAAGCCAGAATAAAACTCTCTAACCCTCTTTTGACATTTCACAAACCAGCTTATCTGCTACACTCCACCACCCCACACACTAACAGAGCAAGAGGAGAAGTCATTGCAGCTTAAATAAATCACCAGCACTGGGCCAGGTGCCCAGCAAAGGGGTGGGGAAGGTCTCCAGTGTGCTGCTGTGTCCTGGTTTTGGCTGGGACAGAGTTAATTTTCTTCCTAGCAGCTGGCATAGTGCTGTGGTTTGGATTTAGTACTAGAAGAATGTTGGTAATGCATTGATGGTTTAATTGTTGCTAAGTAGTGCCTAGACCAGTCAAGGACTTTTCAGCTTCCCCTGCTCTGCCAAGGGCACAAGGAGCTGGGAGGGGGCACAGCCAGGACAGCTGACCCCAACTGGCCCAAGGGCTACTCCAGACCATATGGCATCATGCTCGGGGGGAGTTAGCCGGGGCGGGGGGAGAGTGATCGCTGCTCAGGACAGGCTGGGCATCGGTCAGCGGGTGGGGAGCAACTGCATTGAGCATCACTTTTTTTTTTTTTTGTATATTCTGTTGTTATTACTTTTTTCCCCTCAACTGTTTCATTAAACTGTCTTTATCTCAACCCACGGGTTTTACCTTTTTTTTTCCCCGATTTTCTCCCCCATCCCACGGAGGGGAGGCAGGGCTGAGTGAGCAGCTGCGTGGTGTTCAGCTGCCTGCCGGGCTAAAGCACGAGATGCTGTCACACAA